CCCATTCTTTATCTGGCTGGTTCCTATTCAATCTCCCATGCTGCCGCTCAGGTGTGACCTCCTCCAGGGAAGCCTCTCTGACCTGCACCGCCTGAGTAAACAAGCTCCCATACCCTCTGGGCTTCTCACCATGTCAGCATATGTCAAGCAGCAGTGATATGGTCCCTCGATTGGCCCAGCTCCCCTGCTAGTCCGTGAGCTCCCTAGCACAGGGTCTGTGTCGGGCTCTGTGCGGTGTCCCCAAAGCTCAGAGGAGTCTGACATCTAGGAGGTGCTCACTGGACTGCCCAGTGTACCTCCCGCAGGGCTGGGTTAGGGGTGTGCAATAGGCCCCCGGGGTGACTCACCCTCCCCCAGCTGCAGGGCGGGGTCCATGAGCTCCATCATGTACTCCACGTTGAGAAGCATCTCCGTGAGGTTGCTGCGGGCCAGCACGTACATGAGCACGGGCAGGAAGTCGTCTGCCCCGTAGGGCTTCCCTGGGAGGAGGAAGGAGGCAGAAGGCGGTGAGTGAGAGGTTCTCCCTGTGAGCGGCTCCCTGCCCAGGGGGAGGGGCCGGTGGTTTTCTGGGTAGCGGGTGGTCACTGCTGGAAGAGGAACCTTCCCGCTCTCTTAGGACTCTCAGGACGGGGGTGACCCTGGAAGCAGACTTCAGGGGTGGCCTGTGACACAGTCCGGGCTTGGGAAGAAGGAACCGAGAAAGGTGCCCTCCGCCGGGGCGGGCAAGACCCAGGCCCTTCCTCTTTCCCGCCCTTCCCCTCAATGCCACTTGCTGCCTGACTGGCAGTCAAGTTCACACCACGCGTGTCCACGGGCCCACCCAGAAGCACCTGCCTGTCTGACGTTGATGTCTTCTGGGAAGGCTCCCTACTCCGCCCCCCCTTTTCTTAGGTATTTTTAAAAATTCTTTATTGTTGAAAGTATTACATATGTCTCCTTTCCCCCTATTGACCTCTCCCCAGCCGTTCCCACCCCCAGCACACGCCCTCACCCCCCACTACTGTCTGTGTCCATGGGTTATGCTTATATGCATGCTTACAAGTCCTTTGGTTGATCTCTTACCCGCTCCCTCTCTCATCCCCCCACCCCCTGCCTTCCCTCTGAAACCACACATCTCCCTCCATCTGCAAAACAGAAAGCCCTCCCTCAATCAGTGCTACCAGGCAGCAATCCCACCATTCGACGTTCATTCCTTGGGCTGAGGTGGCGCCCTTTGCATAGGGTTTCCTTTAAAATGTACACGCCTCCAAAAGGGAGCGCTCCTCCCTGCTGCTTACGCGGGAGATGTTCCCAGGGCGCGAGCCTCTCCGCAGGAACAGAGGCCTTGGGGAAGAGAAGCGGCTGGAAGGGGGGCCTTCCCAGTTGGGCTCTGAAGACTGACCATAAAGCAACACAAAAATCAGAGGTGGGACCCGGAGGGCGAGGATTCCTCCTGGAGCTCCCCATTGGTCTCTTAGCCTGAATACAGGTGCCCTGGGGACCAGGACCACTTGGCGGGGCAGCTTTGCACAGTGAGGAACGGCCACTGGGCTCCCCAACTCCCTTCTCGCCTCCTCTCACTAAAGGGCTCGGACAAAGGTCTCCAGACTGAGCTAGAGCTACCAGGACTGGGAGTGGCCCCAGAGGATCATCCAGGGCTGCTGCCCGCTGTGTCTTGGGGGAGATGAATAATCAGTTCAAATACACACCAGGCAATCTACACTTCTCTCAAAAAGGTAGTTCTGCTTGGCATGTTTTACCAAAGGTTTAGGTGACCCATCAGGAAATACATGATAAAACAGTAAAAATCTACAATAAAAATGTAAACATCAGGAGAAACATAGATTACAAGAGGATCGTACATCACGGGAAAAAGCAAGACACGCATAAGCAGAGTCACACACTGCTCTTTGAGCACAATCTGGCTTTGAGTTTCTGGTGGCCAAAGTGAAAAGGGAAATACAATCAGCTACATTCTTCTCAGTGTCCCTGAGAAAATACACCTGTTTCTTGGTGGGGGGGCAGGGGAGGGCGCGGTTAGGGGGGAGGGAAAACCAAGTTATTTTTCTAAGCCTGAGGACAAAAATGAAATGTTCACATGTGGCTTCATTTAGGGCAGTGGTTTTCAACCTTCCTAATGCTGTGACCCTTTAATACAGTTCCTCATGTTGTGGTGACCCCCAACCATAAAATTATTTTCGTTGCTACTTCATAACTGTAATTTTGCTACTGTTACGAATTGTAATGTAAATATCTGATATGCAGGATGTATTTTCATTGTTACAAATTGAACATAATTAAAGCATAGTGATTAGTCACAAAAACAATATGTAATTATATGTGTGTTTTCCGATAGTCTTAGGCGACCCGTGAAAGGGTTGTTCGACCCCCAAAGGGGTTGCGACCCACAGGTTGAGAACCGCTGCTTTAGGGGGACATGGTTGGTGGGTTCCCATAGCACACGTGAGGAAAGGTTTCAATTAGTGATTCATTTCGTTGCCTCAAGGCACGCACCTCCAGGGAGGAAAGCGAATTTCCCAGTTGACTGTGCATGCGCACATCATTCCTCACAGCAATCACACACAGTGGGTATTTTGCCCGCCTTCCTGAAGAAGAGACCGAGGCTCAGAGAGCTTAAGTGACTCTCCCTTGGCCACACACCTTATGAAGTCGTGAGAGGGACAGTGAGTGATGTAGAGCCAGGCCCAGGTTCAAATCCCAGCTCTCCCATTCACTAGCTGCAAACCCGGGGACAGTCCTGCCCTCCTCTAATCTGGGCAGAGAGGCTGGAGAAGGAGGTGGAGATTTGAGAATTAAGTGAAACCATGTCAGCGGTCAGTGCTTTATTGGGCCATAGTGGGGCCTGTGGCAACAGGAACATGTGTGCTCCGACAGCTACTTATCAAAATATCCCCTCGTATTTTGAACCCAAGTGGAAGAAGTTAATGAAAAAACACGACTGCATGTCAAACCCTGGTTAAACATTTGCTTGCATGCCATTGTCAGGCCCCACAAACTCACATGAGCCCAGGAAGTTACCAGCTGATTGGAAACGTCTGTTCCTGCTGTACAGTCACACGGGCCACACAACAGACAACACCCTGCCTTTGCTTAAAAAGGTTGATGTTTTTGTTCATCACAGATTTTTGTGCACTCATTTTTATTTTTTAAAATACTGAATTAAACGATTACTCATCTTAACATTTGACCCAGTAATTCCACTCCCGGTTACACACCCGAGAGAAAGGTTCACACACAGACTTGTACTCACACGGTCACAGCAACATCATTCATAAAAGCCCAAAGGCAGAAAACAGCAAAAATATTTATCGGCTGCTGAGCAAACAGACAAGATGTGTTCGATCCAGACAATGGGACACCCGCTGGCCATAAAAAGAACACACTACCGGTACATGCTCCGACACCGATGAACCTTGAAATCATTACGCTACGTGAAAGGAGCAATCCCCGAAGACCACGTGTTGCACGTATTGTATGATTCCATTCATATGAAATGCCCAGGATCAGCAAATCCAGGGAGACAGAAGCAGACTAGTGGGTGCCAGGCACTGGGGGAGGAGGAGATGGGGAGTGACTACTAATGGGTACGGAGTTTCTTTCGAAAAAAGACGGGAGCTCAGTGTTGAATATCCCAGCCCCTCTGGGGATCGCACCCCGAGAAGCACGAACCAGCACCGCCTCAGTGGGCTCTGCGTGGACACGGTGTCTCCATAGTTCCACTCCTCCTTGTTTGCTTTCCAGAGAAAGGTGTGCCTGTGGCCTGCCTTCCTGGCCACACTCAGTTTTTACATCTGCAACATGGGGCCAGCAACACCGGCCCTGATGGTCTTTCAGGTTTTCAAGAGGACAAAATGAGGAAAATAATACGAACGCGATTTGGAACCCGTAAAGTGCCACGGAAAGGTGAGCTCTTACCGACACCCATGTTTTGTTTTCTCAGGTGGCCCCAGTTTTTCTGCCTGTAAAATGAACAGGCTGAAGGGGCTGGTAACACAGCACTGACCAGCAGAGGCAGGCAGACCGCCGCGAGTCCCAGCACACCGCTACCTAGCTGGGCGACCTTGGGCTAATGGCTTTACGTCTCTGAGCCTGCGTTTCCAGTCACCGGTGAACTGACACAGAGAACATGATATCCCAGGGGGTTGTGGTGAGAATCCTGTGGGCCGCTTTCCATGGAGGGCTCCCACCAAGCTCCCTGGGAAGCACCCGCTACAGAACATTCACGATGCAGCTCGGTGCAGCGAGGCTCTCTGAAGATTTGTTCCAAGGCTCCCGCCGGAGAAAGCCTTCCCATAAACCTCTAGGAGCCGGGACACGACCGATCGGTTCCCAGGGAAAGGCTGTTTTGCGCCAGAGGTTGTTTTTCATGGCGATAATGGAATGATTAGAATCCTGGCATCCAGGAGACTCGTTTCTTGTTTGAGTAATGAGTTAGGAACAAGGGGAGTCAGGCAGCAGGAATGTGAGGCAAAGCCCGCCTGTGCCTTTGGAATTCACTGGCGCTCACGTGTGGATTTGGGCTGACGGAATTTCTACTCCGGCTCCAAAAACATCGTCTTCTGGAGTGTTCTATGAATAACGCACCGAGGGATCCAGTCAGGCACGTCATTTGCTTCCGAGCCGTGGTTCTCCAGCAGGGGGACTTACCCCTGAGGGGCCGTGTGGCAATATCTGGAGTCGCTTTTTTGGTTGTCACCACTAGAGTGATGGTCCCCCTGGCGTCGAGGCCAGGGATGCTGCTACACATCTTAGGGTGCAAGGACAGCCTCTGCCATACAGAATTACTCAGCCCCTAACTGTCTCCCGTGCCAAGATGGGAAACCCTGCTGGAGGGACAGTGACTTTCAGCCAAAAGGGTGGTCCAGCTGGGGCCCAGGTTTGAGGACTTAGAGATGGGGGGGCGGGGGGGGGGAGCCCTCCAGACTGTGCTCCATGGGATTAGAGAGTCCTTTGCCCCTTTCTCTTTCTTCTCTTCTTGAAAATCTTGGCTGACCCGGTGCCTCAGAAGCGGGCTTTGGGGCGCATCTCCTTGATTCCCACCTTCTAGCCATGTGAACTTAAAACAGAAGGTTAACTTCTCTGGGACTCATTTGTTCCAGAGTGAGTTGTATTCAGCCACCCGCTGCAGGGGACTCCTGCATCTGTCCCTCCACCTACCCATGAGCAACTCTCTGTCGCCCTGGTACACAGAGCATGGCACAGTGCTGGGCATGGCACAGTGCTGGGCATGGCACGGTGCTGGAGGAATGAATGGGTGAATGAATGAATGAATGAATGGGTGATGGATGACTGCCGAGCTCCCAGCAAGGCCTCAGAGCTGGTGACTTGGCACCAACTCAGATAAGCCTTTACAGAGACTCCACGAGTCCTTCCCCATCGGGGGCCAAGCCAGGGTGTGCATCATCTTTTCCTGGAAACCAGCCCTTACTGAGGCCTCCCGTTTCCATCAAGGAACCCATCCCCCCCCCCCAAGTGCTGA